TGCACAAGAACAAGAACAGTACTTGAGCAGCAGCGTGAAGATTCACAGCTGTTCGCGTCCTGTAGTAATTACCGACACCCACCCTTCCGAATCATGGTTTTCTAAACTCTTTATCCACGGGGTCAAGGAGGAGCCAGAGGCTATCCCAGCAAGCAATGGGGGAAGGCAGGGTATACCCTGAACGGGACGCCAGTCCATCGCAGGGCACACACAGGCACAAAAACACCCACACTCACACCAGGGCCAATTTAACAGAAGCTGTTTAACCTACCAGTATGTCTTTGGATACTCCAGGAATTAAACCCACCACTATGCTGCCCAATTACCATTATAGTGTACCTAACCTAATTACTAACATTCTGTATTCTGGTTTCATACCATGCTCTGACTTCTGTGTTAAAACGTTTTCTCCTAATAACCTACATCCTTAAAATGAACAAAAAAAAAATAAAGAAACTCACATCCAAAACCATACTCTTTTAAAAAAAATACCTTCCCCATTTACAAAAGCCAGATGGTTAACTTAAAACAGTCCAGAAGGAAATAAAGGCTATACCACCATACTACACAGCTAAAATAAATGTCTGCATGGAAATGTAATACAGTATAAACACACACATAGGTTTCTAACCAATAATCCAATCCTGAAAGCCTGTGGTTTGAGTGTTATATTATTTTTCCCCTTTCTTTCAAGTGTGATGTCACCAGAGGACTTTAAATAAAATGGTTGTCAGCAAAAAGATGGACTGTGGAACTTTTAAATGTACCGTGTTTCTCTTTAGCTCATTAAATCCAAATTACTTTGGGCATTTTGATGACTCAGGATCTTCTACCTCACTGAACATTCAGTACACAAATGGTTATCTTTATTATTTTAGCTTGGAACATGTCACAGTTGTTGTGAACCTATGATAAAACTACAGCGTCAACCCCAAAGACCAGACTCTAGTCTGCTGTGAAACTATGGTCTATAATGAATCAAAATCTAATTCAGTTTGTTTAATGACAGAAATTAGTGGATTTATAAACCACTAATATACAGTAGTTTTAGAAGTAATAATATGCATACCTAACTATTCATTTCAAATCCAAACTATAAATGCAATTTCAGCTTTGCTCAGGATATTAAAATATATTAGTTTATGGCTGATCTTTGTGATTGTCTTTTCACTGTGGTATGGCAACATTATTCATTCTTTCTAGTAGGTCTTTATATCCTTTTTTCATATAAGAGTACAAAAATAATTCACTAAAATGGAAATGCTTTCTAACAGAAAATATCATAAAACCCACATAAGTGACGTAGTTTCCCAGAACCAGATACTTTTAGGTTGACTCACAAGCAGATGTTCCTGATTAAGAAAAAATCTCTCTTGCAAACATCCTAGATTTATAAGAGCGGAAAGGAAGTAAAGACACCATTTGTTATCACCCTTGTAAACCATCTCTAATCCTGCTCTTTCAGGGCTGAAGTACAGTGCAAGATGTTTAGGTCTCACTAAAACATCAGCACCTTAGGAACTGGCAAAAGCCAATTACCATATGAGCTAATTTAAGTTATTAAGAACCAAGGAAGAATAAACGTCTGCTGACACAGAGTACAGTAACGAACTGCCAGGACCAGGAGGGGACACCTCTTCTCTTGTAGGTACTGTCAGTAACACAATACCTGCAAGGGCATGGCTTTGGGTAATGTAATATGCCATGGGTTCAATTTAGGACCTGATGTGATACTGTATCTACAGTATGTGGAGTTTGTACAGTATGTTCTTCCTGGGGATTTCATTTAGGTGCTTGAGTTTTCTCCTACAGTGCAAAGACATACTGGTACAGTAGTTTAATTAGCTTCTGGGAAAAACTGGCCCGGGTGTGGCTGTGGGTGTGAGTGTGAGTGTGTCCTGTGATGGATTTGTGTCCCATCCAGAGTATATCCTGCCTTGCACCTGTTTATTTAATTCCAGAGATAACTAGAGGGAGTACTATTTAGATTTCACTCCGCCTGGTACATCTTTTTGCTCTGAAAACAGACGAGAGTAATATTGACTGCCGACGGAGGGACACTGACCTGTCTGTCCATTTGTTTGCATACAGTTATTATCGCATATGCACTGTCACAATGTCAGCGTTGTTTGAGGAGCCCACTGAAAAAGAGAAGAATCAACCCCGAACCCCCCTTTCCACAATTCATCATCTCTTAAATCCAGTTAAGAAAAATACTTTGAGTTTAAGGCCCAATGATAGTCTTTTTCCTGGTTTTTCTAACATAAAATTGATACCATCAGGAGTCAGCCTGTATTGTGGTTCCACAGAGGGTAATTGATATAATTTAGGAGTGTAGATGCTTTGTGCATCTCACCTTGCAGGGTTCCGTGCAGCATCTCCTGAGCAACTATCTGAAATGATCACTACAAAGAAACCACCACATGTTCCTTGAATCCTGCCCAGCTGTGTTTAAGTTTTGCAATTCACTTTTCTAAATGTCACATGTAGTACAATGAGTCATTAAGGTCTGGAATTGTCAACTCAGCTTTTAATTCTGCAGTTATTACCTGCTTTACAAGTGGTATTTAGGTACAAGTGGCGATATCTTAACAGTTTTGGCAACATGCTGTTGCTGATCACTTATCTGCCAGTCAGATAAGATACTATACTTTAGATAAGATCACTTTATTAGCCATATACAATTTCTTGCATTAGGAATTTGTCTGTTTGCGTACCCCAGCTTGCTATCCATGAGACACACAGGCACACAGGCACACAGATGGGGAGAGAGAAGTCTGGGGGTCAGAGCGCAGGGTCAGCTATTTATACGGCGCCCCTGGAGCAGCTGGGGTTAAGGGCCTTGCTCAGGGGCCCAATGGAGTAGGATTCCTGCGCCGGCTGCGGGATTTGAACCAGCAACCTTCCAGTCACAGGGACAGATCCTTAGTCACGGTACCACCACTCCACCCCTTTATGAGCCTGATGTTTCTGGGGTGCACACATTCAATAGTCAACAAAAAATAACACCATCTCTAACATGTAGCAACATTTAGAAAGGTTACTGGCCAATAACCACATTGAGCACTGCAAACACCAACAATCAGACAACAAATCAATATAAAAACAATTGTATTTTATATAAACAGGTTTCAAAGCCTAAGAAGAGAAAAAAAGTTTGTATGTGTTTTTAAAACAAGAAACATAGTACACTAGAACTCCAGTTAATAAGAGTCCTCATACTGTATTTGAAAGTCATAAATCCTTCATACCACCCATAGAAAGACTGAAAGAAATAGCTGAAAGCAGATGGAAAGCAGACAAAAACATTTACTCTTGAAAAGAGTAATTGTATAATGTTTGAAAAATCTCCAAAGGAAAACTATTTTCTTACCCAGGTAATGCTGCATTAATCACTCTTCAGTTAAAAACAGCCAATTCATACATTGTGTTGATGTCTTTAGATCAAAATCATGTTGCACATTTCTTGTTCCCTCATTTTTATCAGAATTCTACTTTCTGAACAAATGTACATTTTGTCTATAGACAAGAAATCAGTTGTCACCTTTGTAAAGCCGGTTTACATCATCATATGACAGGTCAAATACACATTTTGTAACTTTTGAAAGCACATTCTAAAATATGAATGTGAACCCTGTGAAGCAGTTGATCTCAACTGCAGTGAGTACGCTGGAGGTGGATGGAAGAAATAGTGTCCAGACAGACCTCACAGTGATAAAAAGCAAACTTACAAACATAATGGACTTTTGAATGATCAATTGCTGCATTTTGCATGGGCTATACATTGACCACACAATCCTTGCATACTTATAAAGACAAAAGCATGTCTACTGCATAAATCTTTTAAATCTAAAATTTCACCACAAAGTTACAAAAAGCTTTTATTTATCACCCCCAATGAGATGCATTTATTACAAAGGTACATAGTCTTGTATTTTAATACATGAAAAATTAAATTAATTATACCATTACTGTTTCTGTGTACATCACATTACAAAGAGACTTGTTTAAGTGTACAAAATGTTGGTATTTACTACTTAATTCCATGCACAAAATGCTATTCAATGTACCAGCCAACTTGCTAAAATGCCATGGTCCAGCTTTCTCAAAATAGGGGGTATTTTTGTAATTCCATGGTTAAAGTCCAGTAAAGGCAAACCCGTCTCAAAGTGAATTCAATGAATGCTGGTATGGAAATGTTTATATTGCATTTCAATATTTTCTTTTGTATTAGAAAAAAGCCATATAGTCAAACTGTATGTCCACACAGTTCCACTCTGTGGATTAAAACTTAATTTGCAGATCAGATTTTTCTAATTTAAATATTTAATCTTTACTGTCAGATGAGCTACTTTGTCCAAAGTTATTTAAATTTCTGTAGTCACACTAAACTATTGAAAGATTTATCTGCTTATTTCAAATGGCATACATCTAACCTGTTGAAAAGGCTAAACAGTAACTAAACATTACACTTGAGGACAATTCTGTATTCTAAAAGCTTTTTCCCCCCAATAAACGGCAAATAGCACTGGGTAAACAGCTCTAAATTCTTACTAAACAACTTCACAAAATGGGATGCTTTTACTCTGCTGATCTGTAACATCTATTGGAATACAAATAAATGGATTCTAGATGCATTTCTGTGGCACTTCAGAATGTAATGATTTCCTTATTTCACTGTTATGATTTAAGTTGGTTACAATTTATAATTTGAAATATTGTCAGTTCTGTTACTAAGTACTTGTGGAAAATGGATATTACTGTTGCAAAAAAATAAGACTTAAGACATTTGGTGTATCAGTGCGTAAAACATAAAAAAACAATCCAAACAAGACTGATGTCAAACCTAAAACACACTTGGTAATGTCCCTCAGTAAAGGTAGTTACAATAAAAAGACTATATGCAAAATTATGATTTGCAACAGCATAATTATAGTTTGCAACAGCATTTCATCATTTCACAACAATCTTGCTGTACTCAGAAGTACAAAAGCATACACTAATTGCAGTATAAAGTTCCATCTTCAATGCATTTATATTCATTGCAAAACACTGTGGTACTTAAAAAATTCCACTTTGCATTCTTTGATCTATGTTAAAAAATTCAACGTCATCTAAGTGCATTTCAGTCTTATATTTCTGATTGAATCTGTATCCTTACTACATTCAAACTGAATTAACTGAATCAGTAGAACGTAATATTCTACATACAGTACACCTTGTACTCTGAAAATGTCAAAATCAATAAAAGAAGCCTTCAAACACTCAAAGTCAATTATGCAATCAGGGCTCTTCTCATTGGCAGAAACAGAAAATGATTGATGAATAAAACTGCGTTGTTAACAGGCAATGATTTCGGTGACCTACTGTACCGTGATGAAAAGGGGGAATAAGTATATATGATTAAAGTCTTCAGAACTGTGCAGTCCTTAGTCTCCACTATATTTCAATGGTTATTTTAAAGTGTCCTAGGCACACCCTTCTACAGTACATTAAAGGCCTTTGAATAACAGTCCGTTTTGTTGTTGGAAATATCGCTGAATAGCCATCTTTAACGGTCCGCCTCACAAAGCAGTGAGTTCCTCCACTTCGGTCAACTGGACGGTTAAGCAAGACTGAACAAATGTTTTCTGTTAATCACTGGAAGCCTCATCGACTCAGAAGTCACCTCACTGCAGGGTTACCGGCAGAATGGGGGAAAAACCAAGAGGAATTAAGAATAATTCTTCCAGTCAACAATAAATTACTTGTATTTCAATAAATACTTTAGTGCCACTCTTTGGCAAAGGATGTTCTTGGCAGTATATCATTTGCCATGCTGGGTCTCCTGAGCAGTTCTGATGAGGAAAACTGAAAACATTAGTCAATCCGGTTTCCGCATATTGTGAACCTGTCTATTTCCAGAAGATCTTTCTTTGCTGTTCTGTGCTTGAGCTCAGATCTGTCTGAGGTTATGTCCTTCTCTTCTGCATCTGGAGTGGTGAGAAACTGGTCAGAGTTACTGTTTGGAAGTGCAGATGAAGGGTTTTCAGACCGATGAACTGGCTGGCTGGTGATAGATGCCGAAAGGCCGTCGTTGGCTAAATCGTCTGCTGGAAAAACAAGAAAAAATAGCCAAGGCTTCAGCAAGTGACCGTATCTGTCTGACATCAACAGCACAGGAACTGCTCACTACATTACAGGCAAGACACAGAACAAGAGATTGCATCACGGCTGTGCTGAACTACTTATGTTTTAGTGTTAAACTTCACTAGGACTTTAAATGTGCTTTTGAATGTTTAATTCTATTACAGAAATTCATATCACAACACTTCCAACAGTGAAGATGTTTACCTGTATACAAATCGCAGCACTAATCATACAGTATATGAACCTACAATATTGCAAGTTTAATTTTTTTAGCAATATCCTATGCATTAGTATTGGAAACTTAATTAGTATTGGAAAATTACTGTTATTGTAATAGAAAAGCTGTCCCTCAACATTCTGCCTGTGATTATTAACACAGTTGTTAATGTTCTGCTAATTTAACACTATTGTATGTATACCTATTTATGTGATGAGTGTGAATTCCATTTCTATATGATGTAAACTTCTACCCAAGTAAAATAGTTTCAAGGAAAATGTAATGTGTGAGGTAAATGATTCTCGGTCAATGGAAATGGCAGATATCACTGGTGTCTTGATTTTGTGTGTGTACATAATATGATATGGAAAACAGTTTGTAATAGCTTGCTTGAGTTTATTCTCACATTCTTTGTGCAATCTGAATTTATGTGTTATTTTATAGATTTTAATATGATAAACAGTGTTTGGGACCATGAAAACATCAGTTTTCAATACACTTTACACTAGGGACACAGTACCCCTGCTCCCCTATCAGAGTATTACATGAATATCATCATATGTGCACTGACTTCAGATCAGAACCTACTACCACACCTAAAGGAGTAGTGACTTTCAAAGATAATGATTGTTGGCTGCGGTCGATGGAAACAATGGTGTGCCAAAACAAAAGCAATTAAACAAGGGTACATTGCACTAAAGCTGAAACCATTTCATCCAGGTGTACCCACACAACCGGCCAATAATAACAGTTTTAAGTTATAACAGTTTAAATAACAGCTTAAACCTACATCACAAAAACTTTAATAAGCAGACAGAAATCTGATCATCAACCGATCGTCAAAGCCCTTGTTTAATGTTCTTATAACACTGTAAATACCTTGTAAGGTTAATTAAAATCAAGATGCTCAAATGGTCCATAAAAAGTTATTTTTACCTGGTGGGTTTGTAAATTTGTTCTTTGACTTGCTGGCTTGTTTTCCCGGTGTTGCAGCTGGTGGATTTTGAAACAGCTTTTCCTCCATCTTGGCCTCTTTAACATATAAACAAGACTTTCCCAGCAATACTATACTGTTCAACACTTTAAGTGTTATTATCCTGTTGACAAAGAGAAAGATTCATAAGAAGACCACATCGGGATTATTTGAAAGACTAAGCTCAGCTGACTCAGTTCAATTTCAAACTATGATTTATGAAAAGAAGTTCACGCACATTTATTCTGTAATGGTGCATCCCATTTGCTAACGCTGTAAAGCAAATAAAGTAAACGTTCTTGCAACAACTCAGTAAGATTATCAAAGCAAGGAAAGCTGAAGATTAAGCATTAATAGAAGCATACATTCTCAACTAAATCTCTTTCAATTTAAAGATTCTGTCAATAAGAAAACATGAATTTGTAGCAGATGTGCAATACTATCATGTTATACGGAGAACAAAATACCATAACAAGTGTTTTCAGTGAAGGGGAAGACATTTTGTATTTGAATAGTATGTTATGGGAATAGTTGACTACATGATAATAAGGACAACAGGAACAAAATGGTTGACCTTTCATGAGAAAGGACACATTTAGTACAATTTCTACATTTAAAGCTAAAGTGGGTCTAAAGGCTTAAAACATTTATTGCAATGTTAGTTGTTTGTTTTAGAAAATGTACAGTAATTATTTTGTGATGTAAGAAACATCACAACCACAGTACAACATTTAGTGGGGGCAACTTTGACACCTTCTCTATCAACTTTGTACACCAGCTTGGTGAAATTGCTGCCCATTCATCTTGAGTAACTTGAGGACCAATTATGGACAGCAGTTTTCACTTTAATGGTGCCACTCCAGGACATTCTGATATTTCTAACTCCATAGTGGCTTTTTCCTTGTGATTTGGGTCATTGTCCAGCTAAATGGTGATTTTTTTGTCCCAGTTTTAGGTCTGAAAAAGGTTTTTCTCCAAGATGTGCTAGTACTTGTGTTTTGTGAAACAGACACACAGTTTTGCATAAGACCATTCTTTGAATTTAGGTAATTCCGTAATTACAGTAATTAATAGCATCCTCATGCAAAAATCAACAAGCATCAAAAATTTCAACACCAAGGCCAAATATGACAAAGTAAACAAAAGAAAGAGAAAAATAAACAAAATAAAAAATGTGTCACTTCATTACATTTGTGCAGATAATTTTCATGGATCATGAATCAACAGAAATTGTTTTTAAAGAAATAATTTAGAAAATGTAAATTCACATTCATACATAATTTCTGGAATTTGTAACAGAATGTGCAATAACAATAAATAGAGAACTTTTATTTCTGCCCCTGTTTCCCCAGTACTGGCTACCATGAGTTTTGTTAGGGGAGAAAAATATTTTCTACCCAGCAATTTAAAAGGAAAATGCAGCACTTCTGTTTCTGAATTCTTGCTTTGTAAAAGCCATGTCTGTCTTTTAAAGCTTGTAATTATTAGCTTAATCAGGTTAATTAATGAAAAAACTGTCTAGATGCATCAGCTCCAGTTCCTTGAACATTCACTGCTTCAGCTTCTGCTTATGATGAGCAATTTATATTGTACAACCCAGGTTTGACTCGCTAAGCTATAATTATATGAATCTAGGGCAGGAAAAATGATCCCCTCTCAGTATGAAGGCTGATCTCTAATCAAATGCGCCTGTTTCAAATAAAATATCTCCTTTGTGAGCTACTTTACACACATTCTGAGTGTTGACTGATTGAAATCAGCAGGAGAGGGGAAAGGTGTAATATTTATCTGAACTGTTGTGTAAATAAATTCAACAGCTTTCAGGAGCATATTAATTCCCCCTATCATTGAGCTAAATTATACATGCGCTTAGAGAAACCAGCATGAAAACTAAGTAGAATAACTCTCTTGGCAAGTGCATCAACTGCAATTCGCATATCTTTAGATTAACTCATTGAAAAAAATACAGTATATTTTTGCTCAGATATCACAGATCTTGAGAATAATTTACATCCTGAAGCATGTTAAAAATATCGTGCCTTTTTCACAGCTTTCTCCCTTCACCTCGTTTCCAGTTGCGTCAGTCTCATCGGCTGATGAGGACAGCTTTTTTAACTTCAACGCTAAAATAAGACCATTACTAACAGAAATGACAGATTCCCCAATTTCTAAACCTGGTCTTTTGGACTACCTGATATTCATCAAAAGGTTGTAAACAGAATAATGGGGGAAAAAATCAAATGCCTAATTTTTTTTTATTTAAATACCCAACTATTTGCCACTTTAATTAAATAAAAACCCCAGTTATGGACCTCGTCATTTTAAGACAACCCACACAGTCACTGCTGCAATGTGAGATGAGCAAGACAGTGTTGAGCATGTACAGTATGGTAACTTTGACCTCCAGTGACCCTGTCTGCCAAGTTCAAGTGCTTTGTTATGGGTACAAGGATAAAAATTCTGCAGTTTTGTTTCTCTGTTTGCCAGGGTGGGGGTGGTGGTTGATTTTGCGCTTAATATCAGTATATTCTGTGCATTTGAGTGAAAACTTTAATTTGTCACCAATATCATACCCTAATCAGAAGAGTTGTGGATGTAGCCTTAAAAGACCCTGGTTAAGTAGTCTACTCTAAGTTTCTTCCTTAGGGATGGCAATACCTATATTGTAGAAAAGCAATTTGTTGATCAGCTTGATGAAAAAAAAATTGTTTTAGTACAATAACAATGATAAAGTAAGAAGCAGGAATTAAAAATCCATTCATTAAGGATTATGAACATTGATCCTTTTTTATGCTTTTTGAGATTGTAGACATAACAATGACAACCTCCATAGACATAATCGTGCACATAAAATGAAATAGAGATTGGATATTACTGTATATACAGTATGTTGCTAACCAAAAAGGTTACTCTACATAATATGCTTATATTATGTGTTATTTCTTTAATTACTTAATATAATTAGAACAGCAGATGTAAACAATTCAATTGTACTCTTATCACAGGATTTCTATTATATCTATAGTTTAATGTACATCTAATGAATATAACCTGATTATATTTTCAATGTTACATTGTATGACGTAGGCACTATATATTAATTTATTAAAATTCTCTATAATACTGTATTTTCTGTTACTAGAAAACAAGAAAACGAGCGAATGGGAGGGACATTGTCTGAGACATTGTGTTTATCTTGATAATATCTTAATAATCTAAGAATTCTTAAAGGATCCCAGGAGTCAGCTTCAACCATGATCAGGGAAATGATTTCAGACTCCCAGAGTCCGATCTGTAAAAGCATCTTCCATTTTCTGTCCTGAATGCCCCTAAACTTAATATCCTTTTAGGTCCTTCAATTGTGATCATGAGCACATTCTTAAATATGACCTGATCAACACCAGTGAGAATCAAGTCCCCAGAAAATCATAAGACCAGTTCCAAATGAGAGGAGTCTATTCGACTCATCTAGACAGTCTGGTAGTTTAATTAGATAAACAACCAAATAATCAATCAAGTTGTTCTCTTTAAACAACACCTTTATTTAATTAGGGAAATAAGTGAAACTGTAGTTTTCTGACCTCTTGAGCAAAATATACAAACACCCAGTCTTATGGTAGAAAGAATTACAACTTTAAGCTTTTATGTACAATAGTCATTACATCAAGAACACTCATTGAAAAATGTGTTGTTTTTATTGCTTTGACTGCATTACAATTCTAATAAAAAATCCTCCCTCTGGAGCATTCAGTATTCTGTAGAAGTTTTTATTACATTTGGTGTACTGAAAGCAAGCTAAAAACATACACTTCAGACCTTGTTAAACAAAGTGCCTTCACAGCATCCAAATGTGCCTGCTTGACAGCAACTATTTTTAAATTAAAGCACAAAAACTGTGGCGTTTCCACTGTACTGGAAATGACAGAACTGGATAACACCCTCAGCAAATACTTTCATCCAGCTAAGTGCTACATGTCCCAGGGGTAACAAAAATAAAGCAAGGATTAAAAATACAAGCTTGGATTCGTGTCAGAGGCACAACAGAAAAACACTGAACATACCCCAGGTTACAAATACTACCAATACAACAAAGACATAGCTGTCTGTGCACTTCACAGAAATAAAACTTAGTTGTATGCAACAAATTAATTGTTGTTATCTAAGGTCAATTAGTTTAAAAAAGTACTTTCATTCCAAAAAGAAGGTTTATATTTTTCTAATTAATTTTGATTATGACTATTATACAGTGAATTTAACTATTTATTATCTATTATGACCTCTACCACACTGAACAATCACATTTTAACCTTTATTGGTAGTGTCACTGGAACACTGGCTCGACAAAGTGATGATGTTACACGTTTGTCAAATTAATACTTTGCATTTGAGTTAAATATTGTTGGATAATTTAAACCCCAAGGGAATCCTGCCTTGTGGCCAATGCTTCTCTGCACAGCCTCCGGGCCATCATGACCCTGAAGAGGATAAGCTGTTAATGAAAGTGATGTGATGATGATGATAAACTCTAAGGGGAGCCTAGACTATGAAAACAATATTGGAATACCAATTTGGAATTAAAATCGAGAAATGTTATGTTAAAATTACATGGTGCACTAGTTAGGGCTTATTTACACTATTGTGTCCAATTTTGGTCACCATGTAACAAAAATGATATCGCTAGTCTAGAATCAGTCCCAAGAAGAGCAACCAGGTGCATCCCAGGACTTAAAGGAATGTCTTACATTGATATGCTGAAGGAACTAAACCTTTTTGGGAACCTTAAATAGGGAAGATTGTGAGGGGACTTGACACAAGTATTTAAAATCCTTGAGGGTATTTACTGTATGGACTTCTACAGGATGAACACTGAAACACAAACTAGATGGCACAAGTGGGAACTACGTCGAAGTGCACTTAAAGCAGAGAACCTGAGGCACTTCTTTATCCAAAGAGCTCTGGGGGGTATAGAACAAGCTACACGGACATGTTATTGAAGCCAATTTCCTGGCGCCAATCAAGAAACAGCTGGATGAGAACCTGGGATCACTTCACTGCTAACAACCACAGGAGTTGCATGGACTCAATGTCCTTTTGTTTGCAATTGTTTTTATGTTCTATAAATGGAAGCTTTACTCCCCATTTTGTAAAACCTGTGAGCATGAGGACTATCATGGTTAACTTATGTTTTGGGGACCTTCAAAGTCTTGCAGTAGAATCCAAGAAGGTTGTTGTACAATTGGCTGATTTAATATTACCTCCTCTCCATTTACCCTCATTTACATGACAGGAAGAGCAAATATTTCTAGGAAAAAAGGCTTTACATGTAAACACAAAAAAAACACCAGTTATATGCGTGTTGGATACTGGAAAACATGAAAACCTATATGTCAACAACACAATAATGGTGCTAGTATAGCACTTACTTCACTGATTGAGTGTGCATCTCCAGTTGCTTCAGTTTCCTGTACTTCTAAAGAGTTTTAAGAACAGTTTGTTGAAGATTATAGTACTAAAATATATTTCTATCATACTTATTGAGTCGGAACACCCCAATTACAATGGAACAAATTCCAAAATCACAACTTCAGAAAGAGCATGGTGTTTCAGTGTGTGTCTTACCCCAAGTAGAACAGCACTGCACACACAAAAGCAAGGGATCCCTGGACTTTCACCGAACTTGTCACCACTCTCGTCAGCTAAAACCAGCAAAATGAAACATTACGTTCAAGTTTCATGTACTATATGCATTGGATTTAATGTAGCTGAGAAAACATACAAAAATAATAAAGGTTTAATACAAGTAATATACAGTACACACCTTAAAAAATGTGACCTCTCCATAGATTTATGTACAAGGTTATTTTTTAATAAGTCTAAGCCTCACCAGAGGTTTTAATTAGTTATGCAATATTGTAAAACCTCTTTTGCATAATTGTTCCTGTGTTGTATGTACAGTATAAAACCAGGAAAAGATGAACACTGGAACTAGGTTCATACTGATAAGAGCTAATTAGTTAAAATGCATTAAAAAAAAATAAAGCAAGAACTTGCTTGAAGTAATGGAACTTACAAGCACAGCAAGAGGTAGAGGAATAAACCCCATTCTCCTGGACACGGTGTCACTGTAGTCAGTGTACGCCTACAATGAAACAAACTGGCATAAAATCTATGAAGTTATAAAAGCAGATGAGCAGCTATAACTGAATGAAAAGATGCATATTTAAAAATATATATATAATGGAAGAAAAAGGTTATTTCTGTTGTCATAATACTGTACAACAATTGCAATTACTGATTAAGAAATTCTAAGAAACACTGAAAACAATGGCATGAATCACAATTTAAATATTTCATTAGAACCAATGGAGGCTGCAGAAGTTATTTTTACATTCAAGCAGACAAACACTGAACATGTTTTGTTAAAAATTACTGATAGGATAATCTGACTTACATTTTTTTGCCGACTGCTTACAAGGTCAAAGGCAAGACTGGCTCTATATTCACTATATACCTGAAAGACAAAACAATTATAGAATGAAAAGTATTGTTCTAAACTTGCTGAGCACATCTGTACAGTAACAGTAAGCTGCCTTTTATAATTAAGGTTATGTTTTCATTATTTTGAGGAAAAAACATTCTTTCAGTTCCACCATGAATTTGTACAGCATGTAATTTGTATTTGTGTGGGGTGTCAGTCACCAGCTATTTTGTAAATGAACCTTCGAAATACAAAATTATTGTGTTTGACACTGACTCATTCTATCAGAATTTTAAATCTTGCCGTGAAGAATCCAAAGTAAAAAGTGATTAGTAACAACAATAACAAGACAAAGGGCCTTGCAAAACTATTAACCTTCTGCCTAAAGAGGCCCCATTTTCTCTTATTACAAGTGATGTACAGTATACAGCAAACCCTTAATTTAATGGATTTGCTTTAGCAAACAAAATCTGCTTAAGGGGCATTTTGCCTGCAAAATCAGTAATATTTCCTGTCAATAACTAAATCCTTGCAAGAGGTGTTGTTAACAGTATGTTTCATGTGCTTTTAATGAATCAATCTTAAAAAACAATCATTTTAAAAAATACACTAAAATGCTAATAATATGTAAAAAAACTCTGTAAAATGCACAAATAATAAAACACGGTAAAATAAATACAACACAGATTTAAAATATCTGGTACTGTAATATAGGTACTGTAGGTCAATTGCTTACGATAAATGGTGTTTGTGTTTTGTGTGCTCTAGCAAATTTTATACAGTATATTTACAACACATGAAATAAAATCCTTGTATATTTATGATCAAAAAATGAACAGGAACAATTTTAATCGACTGTGCTGATTACAAAAGATTCATATATTTTATTTTTTCTCCTACACTATTGTGTTTCTGGGGCTCAAAAACATCATTTGTGATTTAATCGTACCTGTCAGCAATAGCAGACATTCCTTCTCGCCTACTAGTCCGTTAAACCAAGGGTGTACTGTACTCATTTTTTAAAGTGCTTATTCATAATAACAATGTGAACGCCCATACTGAACACCCTTATGCAGAAGATAAATGTCTGCAGAACAACCGTTAAGAAAACTAAAATGAAAACGTGTTGATTGCATAAGTGTTCACCCTCTTTGTTTTGGTAAGCCTAAATTAGCTCAGGGAAACCAAATTACTTTGACAGGTCACACAATTAGTTGAAGAGCCTCTGTGCGGTTAACATGATTTCAGAATGAAAGCCTGTCCCTGTAAGGCACCTCACAGGTAGTGAATTTCAAGCACAGATTCAACTATTAAGATTTAGGAACTTTCAAAACATTGTGTGGATAAAGCTATAAAATGGCACGGATCAGGAAAAGGCTATACTTTTTTTTTTAAAGACAGTGGATATCCCTGTTTAGCATTGTGACGTCAATCATTAAGAAGTGGAAGAACTATCTTACTACCCAGCTACTTGAACTGCAGGGAAAATATTTGTGAACCAACTAGATTAAGATATATTTGGATTATTTAAGTAACAAAAATAAAAAAATCCAATTTAAAAAATATCCTTGTGTAAATAGGTGGACCCTTAGATTAGGTAACTGGTGGCACCTCCTTGATCAGCAGTGACTTCAACTAGATGTTTTCTGAAATTTTATGAATCTCTCAAATTGGCATTAGTGAATTTTGACTCATTCTTCCCTATAGAACTGCTTCAGGTTGTTGATATACTGTATGAGGGTTTCCTTGAATTAACATCTAGCTCCACGTCCTGCTATAGCATTATAATTAGGTTTAGGTCCAGACTTTGACTTGCCCAATCCAATGTAGATTACTTCTTCTTCAGTCATTCCGTTACAGATCTGCTTGTATGTTTAAGATCCCCATCATGCTTCATGACCCACTTTTGGCTCAGCTTCAGCTGTTGAACAGATGGCCTATCACTCTCATCCAGAATTTGCTGATTTAACACCAAAGTTCATGATCCTGTCAATGATAACAAGCTGTCTTGATCCTGTAACAGTAAAGCAACCAAATAATAATATACTGTTCTCTCATCACCATTCTTGAAAGTGAGGATGAGGTTTTTCTTTTGGAAGACATGGTTTGGTTTTCACCATACAGAACATCTGTCATTGAGGCCAAGAAGTTCTCTGTGCAAAGAACATTCTTCCAGTAATCTTGTGGATCGTAGAGGTCCATGCTCTTTGGCAAACTTGTGACAGGTGGTAATGTTCTTTTCAGAGAGTAATGGTTTCTTCTTGGTTATGAAAATGAAAACCATTCAAGTTCATTCTTTTCCTGAAGGTTGAGGCATGAACACTGACATTATCTACAGCGGGAGAGGCCTGTAGATGTTTACGGTACATATTACTCTGGGGTGCTCTGTGACTTCCAGGATGTTCCAGGTTGCTCTTGGGAAGATCTTGGTGGGTCGGCTTGTTGTGGGCAATAAAGGAGTTCACTTCGTTTTTCAACATATACTGTTTCTTAATAATTTTAAGGCAGGCAAGGAGGAAATTGGTTAGGGACTCCATCCTGAGGCCGGTGGCAACTTTCAAAGACTTTCAATCTGATCTCAGTCTTTTCTTGAAAAATGCCAGTATCTTCCCACATACTCCCATAATCCCCTGCATAACGAGGTGACCCCTGTTCTTGTTTTAAATGTACATCCCTTTAGTTTCCAATTATGCCCTGTCGTTCACATCTCATTATTGATTCTGAAGAGGCGCACAATTCATTAAAGAGTTGTGTCACACATTGTACTGCCTCATGTGACAGACACACATCTTACGATGTAAAATGTGGAATATTCCCAAAAAGTATCATCCGGAAGTGAAATGTCTCCTTTCAGTTCCCTTTCCATTTCTATAGTATGTCTTAAAGCCTAGGAAGAAAATGGTGCTTCTTGATAAATGACTGTTATTAACAAGAAGGGATATGAAGTGGGTGACCCACTTATAGTACACAGAGCTGCTTTTATAATTAATTTAAGAAAATATATACAGTATGAAGTAAAGAATTCTCCACTGATTACTTTGAATAATACAAATAAACGAAAGAGAATGCAGTCCTTTTATGTACTGTATGTCTGCAAAATGCTCTCTTCAGTGAAGTATAATTATTTTTTTTTACAACATTATGTTCTTGGATACACATCGGTAAGTTGTATATGATCCTTCTAAATTGCTGCTGAGAGATACTTCTTATTTACTTTTTAGAGGCATTGCTTAAACATTATTGTTGATGACTTTGGATTGTGAACCACACAGCTTTATGTCATTTAATCGTTCAAAATGCTTCAGTGAACTGTTCAACCAAATAAAATGCTTTCTTACTTAAACAGCAAGGGTTTAAATTTCTATCAAAAAAGACTGCTCTGCTCTGCTCTCTCTAGTCATGACATAGGCAACGATACATTTAGACTCGGATTAAAAATGTATGCATGTTCAGTTTACTTATAATGATATTATAGCAATCAAACCTAAAAATAT